TTAATGACCTGATAAATGATGAGTAGTTTTTTTTGTTTTTTGTTTTTTTGGTTTTCTTTTTTGAGGAGGGATTGAAAACAGATGATTATAAGAATGCCTGTCTTTTATTCCATTATTGTCATGCTCAATGTTGGTGATGGATGCTTTCTCTAATATTTAATAATCAATCTCTTTCTTCTGTCTCTCACATTCAGCTCATTCTCTTTCCTATTCTATCTGATCCACATCATTTCACATCAGTTTGCCATCTGCCATCTGAGCATCAGTCAAGTTCTGGTATAGTAACTGTTTAAAGATCTGCATTTCATGTACAATTTATGTTATAGACGTTACTAGAGTGATTGTTGCTAATATAGCAGGTAGCCTTCTTGGCCTATAGAATTTGGATTTATTTTGATCATTATTACAAAAATCATTACAAAAAAGATTCATTCATTCATACTCCACTGGATGTTATTCACATAGGACCCATTATGTCAATTTTATTTCATGCTCTCATATATATTGTCCTGTGGGTTTGGATATTCTGCTAACCAGCGGCATTTAGAAAATAAAAGGTCACTTTGAAAGGGAAGGAAAATGACTTTGGGAACTCTGCAATAGGACTTGTGTGTATCCATGTGTAAGTATTTCTATGTGCAGTAACTTCGTGTTAGTGTTTCTGTATGCAATAACTGCATGCTTCTGTGTTTCCCAGAGAACTCTGTCTGAAGTGGAGATACATCAAGAAGACTAGAAGAGCAAAACATGATAGATTAAAAGATCTATGGCATTAAATTCTGAGATAGGTTATCTATTTTAACTGCTTAAACTTCTGAAAAGATCTACATTGTGTTTTGCTATTCCATCCTTTGATAGTTATAGTAAGGCATTACTTCAAAACATTTAGGCAAACCAAACTGGAATTGTTCCTTGGTAATGTTTATCTGTGATATAATTTGTGACTGTATTGCCTCAAAACAAATCAAATGCTCTCAAAGTAACTTAAGTTAAATGGACATTGGAAAACAATTTTGTACCATTTATACTTCTTTTATAACTAAATTTCTCTTTAGTTAGAAAACTTGCTTTTAAAAGTTCTACAAGTCTAAAGCAGGCCACATACTTAGATTACTATATTAAAATGTTCATGAACATTGGCAATTCTTTTTGCCTAATATGTATTGTGAACATGGTTAGTTGCTTGACCTTTGATACTGAGTTGCCAATATGTAAGCAGCATATAGCTATTTTTGAGAGTGCTAATGATATGATTTAATTAATTCATCAGGATTTTCCCTTTATGTTTAACCAGCCATGAATTATGAGAGTTCTTAATTCTGAAACTTTTACCAAAATGATAAGACATGTACATTGATCCAAAGTCCAGTGTTTAGGGTACCTATTTACTGATCAAACTAAGGGACTCTTAGGTTACAGTAAGACCATTGTAATTTTTATGTTTTTTTGCATGTGCTACTTTTATTTTTAAAGGTACAAGACATTATTATAACTTAAAGAAGTTTGAAAATATGATGGGGGATTTGTGAGAATTATCCTTTTTATTATATTCTTTTTTAAAAAAGAATTTTTACTTAATTTTATTTATTATTATTATTATTATTGTTCAATTTTACCAGTAAGAGAGACAGAGTGAAAAAGCAAGCCTCTGGGTCTGGGACTTGAACCATGGTCAGCCATCTGAGAGTCCAGTGCCCTAACCACTATGTCACCTGCTGGCCCTCTTATTTTTATATTCTTATCTTTATCATTCTTTTATTCTATACATTGCATTAAACAGTTTAGTTGAGGTATCTTGACAACATTGTCGACTCTCCTCTTTCATTCTCTATACCCAGTGTCTAACTTTAGCATTTGAGTGATAATAGAGGTCTAGTCTATACCTGAACCACCTTAAGTTCTTTGGTTCCCAAATATGGGCAGGATTTCATTTAAGCGGAGGATTTAGGAATCAGAATCTTTTTACATGAGATTGCTATTTGAGTCTGATTTCTAGAAGACAGTCTGATTAAGTGATAGTCTCCCTATGAATGCCCACAAAGTGTTTATTAATGATGACGATAAGGTTTCCAAGTGGGTTGTTCCTGTTCCTAAGACCCCAGGAGATTTCATTTCACTTTTCTTTCCACCTCAGTTGGAAACAGATGGTGAACCAAAATTTTTGCTTCTAATTGAAGATTTCAGTGAGAACCTGGGTAGATGGGAAGTATTTGCATCCATCTCTCTGAGGGAAACTTTTTTTGGTTGTCATATCTCCCTAAATATCATTACTTTGTTGTTGGTTTGTCTTTGTGGCTCCCCAACAAGCAGTAGGTAGCATGCTTAAAAACTTCCCCGTTTTATGCCTCCCTGGGCTTACTCCTCTCCTACCATCCTGACATCAACAATCCTGGGTCTGTCAGACAGTGAGCATCCAGTCTCACCAGACAGCAAAAGAGCCACAGCCATAGTAATGTGATAGCTGAATGGCATCTCTGTTCAGCACAGCAGGCTTCAACCCATTATATCATTGAGTATAGGGTACAGGTTGGGGTTCCCAAAAATTACTATTAGAGAACTTTTTAATTTTTCTGTTAGGGGTTCACAGAGAACTCCTTTCTTCTGTGCAATAATGCAAGATGCCTGTCTTACATGTACATGTTTATTTAAAAAGCTAAGCTACTACTGTCCTCCCTCTCTTCTGCACACCTCCACAACCACTCCCAAGGACTTCATATATGTTGTTGTAAATTCATTATTCTTAGTGCTTCAAGCATTGTCCAGCACAATTGGGAGTTTGTTAATTGTGACTGAAAGAACATCATTGGAATGTTGGTCCGCCTTTATAAGTATTTCTGGTGTGGAGCAGGATAAGTGAAAAGAAGACTGAACAGTTAAAAATTGGTTCATTTTGAAATAATTCTTGTCAGTAGACTTTGTAAAGAGATTTTATATGTACTTTATGAAAATTTTCAAATTTATATAAGAGAACAAAGCAATAAATTCCCATGTGTTTGTCACCTAGAATCTGCAATTATCAAATTAAGTTTTATCTATTCACCCACTCACTCCCACCCATACTCTGGATTATTTTGGAAGCAAATTCCAGACATCATATTGTTGGTCTATTAGTATTTTCGGATGCATCTTTCAAAGATAAAGACTCTTAGAAATTACTTGGCTTAAACATTTCCTGTCTAGCAATATATTTCTCTCCAGCAATATATTTTCATATTGGCATGTAACTTTTAAATAGCATTTTTTTCCTTTGTATTTTCTTGACCATGTACTGAGAATTATTTATAAGTAATAATTTATTTGCCACTACTGCTTTTTTCTCAAAATCAATTGAAGGATGATTTTTTTAGATAGAAAAAAGAAAGAAATCAGTTGACCTATCTGGACCAAAGGAGAAGTCATGGAAATTTCAGTCCTTAACTATTTTGGAATTGTTTTCTTTCAGTTAGTCATTCAGTGTGTTACCAGGATTGGACACGGGCCTGTTTGTACTGCCCCCAAAGGGAGCCTCACTCACAGAGTATATAAATAAGACTGAAATCCAAATGTGTTGTCTTCACATGGGCTGTCTTACAAATGAACTGTTAACAACTGTTCCAGTGTCCCTATGTGGTTAAAAAAACACTTTGCCTGAGTACTGCTTTTTTCTGTCATCGTAAATACTTTCTTGCCCTTCTTGTCACTTTTCTTCTTTAATCATTTATGTGGGTTTGAAGTTATGGTGAAGGGCCTCTTTGATCTGGTGGGTTTTGTTGAAAAACTAGTGTTAAAGAGCACAATGAGTCAAATAAGGAGAGGGGAAGATGTAACTCAGTTGTTTCCATTGAATCATACAATACCCAGGGAATATTATTACTGTGTTCAATGAAAAAAAATATTTTTAAAATTTTAATTTTTTTTTAGCTTTTTGTCATAGGGCGTGTGCTCTCACATGAGAGAGATAATGAGAGGGGAAGTGAGAAATCACCCCCCATGTGGGATGGCCATGCTGCAGTCCCTTTTCCATTCTCCTCCCGAGATTTTTGAGCGTGAATGCACATGTGCCTAGAGTAATTTTCAAGCCACCAGGTCTGGGACTCAGACAGTGGTTGGCCATGTAGGGTCTAGTGCCTTATCTACCACGCCACCTGCTGGCCCCAATGAAAATTATTTTAAGGATTGATTTTGGACACAAACCTCTTCTTTTTTTTTTTTTTAAGACAAATTTTTACTACAGGGTGCTTGTGCTCACTGGAAAGACAGAGAGAGACAGAAAAAGAGAAATAACCTCCCCAAGGGAGATGGCCATGCCACAATTCCTTCTCCTTCATCTCAAGATTTTGGGCATACATGCACATTCCCCCAGCATGACTTTTCAACCATGAGGTCCAGGACTCGAACCACAGTTGACTACATGGGAGTCCAGTGACATAACCATTACACTATCTGCTGGTCCTGGATGCAAACCTTTTCAGTGATATACAAACCCATACACACCTTCAGTAATAAATCTCTATTATTCTGAAGAACGCACGATAATGTAATTGAGAACTAATTACTCCTGTTTACTGTTGGACAGACAGTTTCTTCTCTTTATTTATTCCAGACACATCACCTGGATCATTCTGCTCATTACCTGCGTCTGAAATTTCTCATCGAAAACAAAATGCAGCACTATGTCCCACCGCCTGAGGAGGACATTTACGAGCTGGTAAGGTTGATGGTGTCGTCCAAGCACATTTCGTAGGCGATTATTTTCAAGTTACACGTGTACTTGTGTTCATCGTAGTTGGTGGAGTAGAGCGAGTTCTAAAAGAAATGAGCTTCGTTCAGAGCCCTGAAGATGGAGGAGATGGCCTTCCTGATGTCAGTATTTCTGCAGAGTGGCAATGTCACCTTTGTTTTTCTAAGGAGCAGGGCTGTGCACTCATGTACAATTGAAATCCGGACCTAACTCCCAGATAGAACTTAAGTCATTATTACAGCTTTTCGTTGCTGCCTTGTCAGTCTTTTATTCTAAATTGGTGACTCAAGATTAGGTAGCTCTTGTCAGGAAAAAAAAACAAAAAAACAAGACAAAACAGAACAAAAAAACACTAGCTTCAATGCTGCGTGACTTTTATCTGTGGATTAAAACCGATGGGTCAAATCTTGTGAGGTGTAAAAGCTGTTACCTAGTTATGTCTCAGCCCGTTGCCATTGTATTTATGTAAGTTCTTGAAGACATTTGTGCATTTTTGAGTTTCGGTGTACTTATAGGACATTGAGTTCTGAATCAGGTCTAGCTTTTCATATCAGCCTTACTTTCTGCTAATCATGTGGAATTGTCCCAAAAGGGAGATGATAATACTTGATTTCTAGCATGTTACAGAGATTAGAGGTAATGGTTCAAATAGTAGGTGCTGGTGTTGTTATTGTAATAAATCAGTGAAAACGTCCTATTTTCTTAGCTGAGGGGTACATTATTTTTCATTTCCAGTAAAGGAAGATTTGGGGAGCCAGTGCCTCCGTTTTGCAGTTCGTCATGCTCTTTCTGTACTTAGTCATCTCTCAGGGGGCCCTGGAGCTGCTTGCCAGGAGGAGATGAACGATAACAGCATGACTTCAGACAGGGCTTCACCACACAAAGCGGAACTGAACATTTAAACCCAAATAATCTCTTTTTGGAAAGGGGAAGCATGATTTCAAATTTGATATGAAATTGTGTTTTCAGTAAACTTTATTGAGGTTAACTTTACATTGTCTGCATCCCTCACCAATTTTAAGGACATGGCTTACGAGTTTTGGCACAACCATATTGTGATGCTTCTGCTGCCACGATCATGATTTGGAACATTGCTGTCATCTGAAAAGGTGACCATGTAACCCTCTAAGTGTCTTCAAAGAGATGTTGGGGTTGGCAGGTGGCATGGTGGTTAAAGCGCTAGACTCCCACACGGCTGACTGCAGTTGGAGTCCCAAACCTGGCAGCTTACTTCTTCACCTTCCCTCTCACTGGTCCAATTAAAAAGTAATACAAATAAAAAATAAATAAATATTTGTTTTAAAAAAAGAAGTGTTAGAGAAGGCGTGCTTTCATAACAGTCTTATTTCTCATGTTATGCAACAGAGGAAGATCAACAAGATCCATTTTCAGCCTACTTAAGTCATTAAGTGCCATTAGCAGAGGAGCATTTTGCCGAGAGTTGCTGATGAGTGCATTCTCTAGCTTGAAGAAAAAGCCCAGTCTTTGTGCTCTTTGAGTGGAGGACTGAATCCTTTTCCCCACTTGAAAAAGGGAAATGCTTTGCTGATAACTCTGAAAGAGCTATTAGATCATGCTTTTGCATCCTGGGGTTTATGATTATTGCACATCCTAAATTACAGGAATTGCACCCACCCCATTTCCAGGTCCTCCATATCTTACACATATAAGGTGTAGGTGCCTGAGACATCGCTTTTGAAATTATGCTGGCTCATGTATTCTTTTGACACCTTGGCCACTGTTTGCTCTCATCCAGCACAGAAGAAACTATTGGGTTGTCAGAAAAGTCATGCCATAGTTTTTCTATGTTTTTCTATGCAAAAATGCTCCATGACTTTTCTGACAACCCAATATGTCTGTCAAACTTACTCTGTTTGTTCTACAATTGCTATATACATTTTATAATGATAATGTTTAAAAATTAATCTAAAGTACAAAGGAACTATGGCATTCTTTCCTTGGCTACCCAGAGATGCCTAAAGAATCAGACAGCGGGATCAGCAGGTGGTATAGTGGTTAAGCCACTGGACTCCCACATGGAGAACTGCAGTTTGAGTCCTGGACCTGGTAGCTTGCTTTCTTACTTTCCCTCTCTCTCTCTCTCACATGCTCTCTCTCTCTCTCTCTCTCTCTCAGTGACCACTCATGCCCTATAGTTTAAAAAATATTAATAAAAAATAAAATTAAATAATTCTTTATCTAAGAAAAGGAAGCAGACAGCCCATTATTACTCATGTGAGCACCTTTCATTTTATCAATTTTTTTTTTTTAACAGTATATGCATTCACCAGCAAGGAAGAAAACACTCTCCATTGAAATGTGGTCATGCTGCAACCCCTTCTTCTCCATTCCTCCATCCTATCAGGATTTAGGGCATGCAAGCACACATACCCAGCATATTGTTGGAGCCATTGGGGCCGTGATTTGAACCAGGCTACCATGTGCACTGAGCTCCCTAAAACACTAGGCTGTGGGGCTGGCCCTTTACCAAGTTTTTCAATGAACATGTTTGTGTTTTGAATACCTTTGGCCGCCCATTGAAGCCTCTAGACCCTTTCTCAGGAGAATATTTTCATTTGCATGAAATAGATTACATTGACTTAAATATATTGGAATAGTTACAAAGTTATTTTTAAAATTATAGATATCTGCAGGACCAGCAGTTGGCATAATGGCTATGTCACTAGACTCCCGTGTAGTCAACCATGGTTTGAGTCCTGGACCCGGTGGCTTAAACTCACACCGGGCACGTGTGTGTGCGTACCCAAGATCCCCCGAGGAGAATGGAGGAGAAGGGATTGTGGCATAGCCATCCCACCAAGGGGTGATTTCTCACGTTCTGTCACTCTGTATCTTTCTGTCTCTGGCAAGCCCACACGCACTATAGCAAAAACCTCTCAAAAAATATAGATATTTACTTATTTATTAGCTCATTAAATTGTAAGACCTAGCAGTAATTCTCATAGTTCCCACTGTTCTTAAGGGGGTGATAAACATTAATAGTGTTTGGAGGTATTAGCAGCACCTAGATTGTGATAGAATAACTCTTGATTTTTATTTGTGGCAATATCACAGGCACTGATCATATTGCTGTGCTCTTTGCCTACATCGATTTATGACCAAGGGAAATGATAACTTTCAGTTAAGCGTTTTTAAATATAAAAATGTCATTTTTTCCTCTATCCAAGTTCATGGACCTCTTGAATTCTATCTGTGGGTCCCTCGTTTTGAATCCTTGCTGGAGGCCATTAAGTTGTTATATTTTCAAGCCGGAGGATTTCAGAACCCACATTATTGCTAGCTGCGTTTTGACAGTGTGCAGAGTCCATTTATGATCCCTTCCTGATTAGTCATCAGACATGCAGTTAATTGGTTCTCCAGCTTTCTTCCATTTACATTTGGATAGACTCGGGAAGTTGGCAGGTGTGTGCAGCCACTGCCATGAGTAGCTCTTTCGTACATCACGCCCCTAGAACGTGTTATTCCTTACCGTTGTTTTGTCATTCTTTAGAAGTCAGATTAGTGGTTATTAAGAAAAGTATGTACTAGATTTTTTTTTTTTAAATTTTTACCATACTTGCTGAAGAGACATAGAGAAACAGAGTCAAGAAAAGTGAGAAATCACCCCCAAAAGGGATGGCCATGTCACAGTCCCTGCTCGTCCATTCTCCTCTTGGAATTTTGGGCATGCATGCACATGCATCTGGTGTGTTTTTCAATACACCAGGTGTAGGACTCAAATCGTGAGTCAGCCATGTGGGATCCAGTGCCTTTACCACTTAAAAGTCTTTTTGGAGAATTCAGTATGATGGAGGGGAGGGGTGAGGAGGCTCTTTTGCTTATGAATAACCAAGGACAGTGAGTCAGCTATCTCCTCTGCTTTTCTAGTTGTATTGCAATGTAAGTGGGACCTTTTGGCTGCCTTCTCATGGCGAGTGGCTTGTTGGCCCGCTCCTTGAGATGATCATGGACATTGTTGTAGTCTCTGGAGGCATTTGGAAAACTCACATTAATTATGTTTTTTTCTTAAAGTGACAGTGGGAATAAAGAATTTGTAGAAACACCGATGTACAAATTCAGTAGATATTTATATTGCTGTGTTTTTTGCCTATATCAATTTATGACCAAGGGAAATGATAACTTTCAGTTAAGCTTTTTTATATATAAAAATGTCATTTTTTTCATTTTTTCATGGACCTCTTGAATTCTATCTGTGGGTTCAGCAAATATTTATTTAGTCTCTGTAATAAATATTTATTTATATATTTACTTAGTCTCTCTGTGAGACAGTGCCTGGCACTATTCTGTCTTTGGTGCTGGGGGATAAACTCTTAATTTTGCTGCTCCTAGTGAAAACTGCTTAAGTTTGTAGAGACAGTTGTAAAAGCATGTGAATGTGCACTCTGTCAGGGGATGGTCAAAACTTAGGAAAACAGGAGATGAGAGCCAGTGAATAGAGAGAGATGGGGTGTCTGGAAGTGAATCCTGTTGTTCTTTCTTTCTTTTTTTTTTTTTTTGGGGGGGTTTTTCTTT